CCCCAAAACCCCAAAACCCCAAAACCCCAAAACCCCAATTATAAAATAATTATTGAAACTTATGGCAGTAAATAATTTTTAATGATAGGTAGACTCGCTAGAAGAGGATATGTCCGGATGACAAATGAAGAGTACCTAGCTAATATCACCAAGAGCTGGTCCTCCCTTACATTTAATAGAGCTACACTGAAGGGGTTCCCTGAGGCTAATCATGGAGATTACGCACAAATCCAGCTTTATGGACTCTCTCAAGGACCAGTCGAGAAGTCTGTTCCTTTGATCCAAGAGGCTTCGCTTGGACATAGACCAGAAGTTATATTTCTCCAACTTGATCCAATGAACTATATGATGAGATCAAGATTTATGTCCCACAAATGTGCTTTACATGATCTTGAGGATTATGACATCAAAGGTGTTGAAAACATTCAGTTCCCTCGACCAATAACATGGCAAGAAACAGTAGTAAATTTGATTACAGTTGATATGATTAGAGCCAACCAGACTCATATGAAAATAGATTATACTAAAGGTGTCTCTTGATACTCATATCCTCAAGTTCAGGAGGAGGTAGTCAGAGAGAATCTCACCCCAAAGTTTATCCAGGCAATCACTGATTATATTGTCTGTGATAAGTGGTCACCCTATTACGAAATCAATCATGCTCTTTATCTTGCTCTTATGGGAAAACAAAAAGTTATTCTTGGAGATATGCCAGAGATTCTACTCAGACAAATTCTTGGAAATTCTCTTTCTCTTGAAGATGCAAAGGACATTTTCAAATATGTTCTCGACCAGATTAGCAAGGCTAGGATTCCAATCACAATGGAGACAGCTACTTTGCAATACTTCTCACATATTTTCTTGATGCCAAAAGATTTGTACATGACTGCATTAATGAAGGAGACCCTCAAAGCAGTTAACTCCATGGCAGCTTTTGTTGGGAATCCTCATTTTACTCCAATTCAGAGGTACTGGATTCCTCCTCCACAAGGAATTAACATGTCTCTTGCCACTAAGATTCCTGACAGGATTAAGAACGAAACAAATGAGATGCTTATTGAGAAACAGGCATTGTTTGATGTCCTTCTTGATAGCCGAGCTTGGGGTAAAGAATTAGCGAACCCCTTCCCATACATAGAAGAGGATATCACCAAAATTCCTGATAAAGACCTAAAGCACTTCAAGAAGACCTTCTACGTCAATTTGAGAAAGTATCAAGCATTTAGGGATAAGTTCATTAACCAAGAAGCTTATGTACTATTGGAGTCTGCTAGCAGTAGGAACCAGAAGTTCCTTGAAAATTAGCTTGCTAAAATTTCAACCTTGATTACAAATTCCGGGGTTTTGGGGTTTTGGGGTTTTGGGGTTTTGGGGTTTTGGGGTTTTGGGGTTTTGGGG